GGAGAGAAAACAGTTCAATGTAGTTCTGACACTCTATTTAATATGATGTTAAAGCCTAAGGTAAATATAAAGTTCTTAAAAGATACGGAGCAGAGAAAATCTAATAATAGTTATATTAGTTCAGAATAATGGACTGTTAACAAAAATGTAAAAGTAGAAAGAAGAAAGAGAGAAACTAAAAAAAAAAAATAAGAAAGTGTTCTTATCTATTGAGGGACCCAACAGAGGCAAAGAATTAGAAAAGAATAAAGTGTGTTTAGAGAAATGTAAAGGTCCTGTTTACAAATCTTCCACATCATTGGAAAAATATATCTCTATATACATTTTTGAAACTGTATAGGGGAAAGTGAAAAGACAAATGTCTTCTTATTTTATACTATCAAAAATAAATAAAGTGCTTTAAATGTGAACAAAAAGATAAATGGAATAATGTATGTAAAGCAGTACACATGGAACATAGACAAGACTAATAGTTATAGATTAATTCACACCCACAAATAAATAAATAAACTGTGTGCTGACCACTTTTTCTGAACCCCATGCAGTGAACTAGAATAAACTACTAATAGTTTAGTAGATAACCACCTAGACAGTTTGGAACTGAAGATGGAAACCAGAAATAGAAAATTACAAAAGAGAGACAGAGAATCATAGGAAGTGAAATGTTTTTTTCCATGTAAAAAATAGGCAGAATCTTATGCACAACATCTTATGAAAATCTCAATTAAATGGATGGTTTTTCTAGAAACACTACAAATGAGGTTGAAAAATCAGGCATGAATTCAAGGTTTCTGGTTAGCAATCAGATGGGTGATTGCCCATTTTCACGGAGAATCACATAGATTTGGGTAATCTTGAGTGGGAGGAGTTTATGGGACTTTGAAGTGGAAATTCCCAGGCTGTATCTTGGGCAAGCCATCTGGGCTAGCAGGTTTGTGATGGTCAGCATGCTGCATAGCATGGAAATCATGGGGCATTCATCGTGTAAGGAGAGTGTACAGCAGAGTAGAAGACTGATGTGGTCATCATCTTGGGAAGCATCAGCATGTACCAGACAGACAGAGGAAGACCAGTTCTCAAAGGGGGCTGAGATGGCCAGAGAGGTGGGAGTACAGCAGCACAGTGTGATTATACAGGAAGATCCAGGGGTGGGGATATTGCCACCAAGAGAGAATGTGAGCAATGTGAAAAACTTATTTTAGGGTAAGAACAACAAAATCACTTTGGTTTGGTTAAAACGCTTCTAATGATCTGACTAGAGAGAGCATTTGAACTGTAATTCTCTCCAATGTGAATAAACAGAATACCAGTGCTAAGTCAGTTTTATAGAGTAGGGGATAGAACAGAAAGCCTCGCAATTTCTTTTTCAAACTCGGCACAAAACAAAAATCAAATAGTAGTTGAACAAAACCATGCATACCACCCCAATTGTTAATATGGCCCCCAGTCCCTAACAACAACATCACCACCAGGAACCATGATAACTGATGCTTGTTGAGCACTTCTTTTCTTAGGAATTTCACTGATGTAATCTTCATGCCAGTATTGTAAGAAAGTATTAATAAATTTAATTCAGAAATATACTAAGAAAAATATTTATCACATCCATAAATAGACATTTAATTGTGAAAGCTTGGGGTGTTTATGAGAAAGCACAAAAATCAATTGGACAAAGGAGAAAGTTAATATGATTGTAATTCTAAAACTCCAGCAAGTCTTGATTAAAAAAAACAAAACTCTTGTAACATGATATATCTCAAATGTAACATGATATATCTCAACTACATTTGGTAGTTGTGTTAGTCGGTAAACTAGGGAAACAAATCCACAGAAACTCATATATGTTTCAGAAAGAGTTTTATATAAAGGGTAAGTGTACATTAAGAAAGCATCCCAACCCAGTGCTATCCAAGCCCATAAGTCCATCATTAGCCCAATGTCCACACCAATCCACAAAGTCCTCCTCCATCTCACAAAACACACACTGTGATGCCGACTGCAGGAGGAAAGCCGAATCAGTGAATGTGTAAGCATCTCAGCCTTGCCAGGATCTCCACACGGCTGCTCCAGCACCCAGGGCTGCATTGGGGTAGGTACATGTGGCTTCTCCTCAGGGATGTCTTGCAGGAAGTGAGCCTTGCCAACCAAAGCAGGGAACTGGCTAAGGCAGCTGCGCCCTGGTGTGACCATCAGAGAGCAAGAGACCCGAGAACTAGAAAGGTGAGACTTGCTGAGCCATTTATCTCTCCAACCTTCAATTAATCCCACATGTGTTATTGGCCAGGTTGGCACAACATACCTTAACTATCTCAGTAGTGAATGTAGTAACATTTGGTAGTGAATGTGGTAACATCTAAAAATCACGGCACCTATTATCATTCTTATTTGGAGAAATTCTTTGGGAAGTTGAGATGAAGAGAATTAGAGGTACATCTATTAAACGGAGCAAAAACGGATCATTATGTGTTGATGATATGAATGTATGAGCCCAAGAGAATGAATCAAAAAGTAATCATGTCTGTCATAGGTTTGGATACACTATAACACAGATGAAATAACCACTCAGTAAGACAATAAAATCGGGGTTTTGGTGCTGTGAACTGTGCTAGGAGCTGATTGTGAGAGCACTTGTCATAACTTCCTTGTACAAAGGTCCACCTTTCACCTGCTAGTACCCAAGGGAAGGCACCGTGGCTGAGGGAGCCTCATCTTAGCTCTCAAAGCGACATCCTTGCTTTTTAGGACTCTAAAGAGACCTTTGGTAGCAGATTTGCCTGGTGCGACCCATCGCTGGTTTTCTTGACTGCTGCTTCCATGGGTGTTGATGACATTCTTGACAACTTCAATCTTTTCTCTTTTTACCATGACCTGGCCTATTGGTCTAGTTGTGTGGATTTTTGTTTTCTTTACATGAAGGTGTAATCCATGTTGAAGGCTGTAGTCTCTGGTCTTTATCAGTAAGTGCTTCAAGTTTTCTTGACTTTCAGAAAGGAAGGTTGTAAAATCTGCATATAGCAGGATTTTACCGAGTCTTCTTCTAATCCTGATGCCATATTCTTCTTCATATAGTCCAGCCTCTTGGGTTATTTGCTCAGTCTACCATTGAATAAGTATGGGGAAAGGATACAACTTACACCTAACTTCACAAAGGAACCCCTTATTCTGTTCTAGAAAAACAGCCTCATGGTCTGTGTGCAGCTTCAGCATGAACATGCTAGAATGTTCCGGAATTTTCATTCTTCACAAAATGATCCATAATTGATTATCATCCACATGGTTGAGTGTATTTTTATTTGCATGGTCAATAAAGCACAAGTCAACGTCTTTCTATTAATCTTTGATCCCAGCCAAGATCGATCTGACATTAGCAACAGCATCCCTGGTTCTATATCCATATAGAGATCTGTATGTCACATAGATGCGTGTATCTATAGATGCCAGTTTAGAAGTCACTTGTTTATAAGGACACACTAGGATATGATAGTTCAATATAGATGACAAAGTGTTAAAAATCTCAATGTATAATGTTCTTTTTATAAGAAAAAAAATTCTGGAAAAATATGCAGAAAGTATTAATATTACATGCCCAACATTAGGAAACCATTTAAGCAAATTATAGGAGGTGTAGAGAAAAATATGCAGCAATTTTAAGTAACGTTAGGAAAGAATATTTAATAATGTAGAGGAAATTTAATGATATATTGCAAATGGATAACAAGCAGTTTCAACAATAGTCTGACTTGCATGCAAGTCGTTTTTAATATGTGGGAGTGCCACAAAGTTCATGGGAAATTTCCATTACCTTTCATTTTCGTTTTTTTTACAAACTTATTGAAGTCTCCTCACCTGTGCATACATTTAAGTTTGAAATGATAAAAGAAAAAAAAGTTGACTTAGCTTATCTCTAAAGTAGTAGGGTTATAGATGGTTTATTTGTATAGTTTTACAATTACTTAACAAAAAGTATCATCTTTAGAGTTAGAGCAATAGCAACAACTCTGCAGCAGGCATATTTCCCAAGAAGGAAGATGCCAAGGAAATGCACACTCTTGTGTTCATTGCTGCCCGGGGAGAGTAATGCATGACTTTGATTTTATTCTGTGTTTTTAAAATCTTTTTTAATAGAATTGTGTGTTAATCATAAAACCAGGTTTAAAACAACAAACTTTCAAAAACGGAGAATAAGGAGAAGGAAAAAGAATAAAGGGATCAGTGTAAGAAGCACTTTAGAATAGTAGAAGTGCTGCATTAATCCGTCCATCCAGTCATGCATTCGCTCATTTTGCACTTGCTGACACAAAATGTTTACCATGTCGCTGGCATGGTCTTGTGCAATGGGAGCATATTGGAGGAGCAACAAAAGGGTGATTTTGTGTCTATAGAGCTTGTAGTGTAGGGGAGGAGCCTGATATAAGCACATGTTTATCTTATCTAAATATAATTGCAAACGGTGGAACATGTTAAGCATCAGGTCAGAGTTTCATAAAAATAAATTCATAAATGTATTGTATATGTATATTACAGGTAAATATTTGAGATACTAATTATGAAGAAGACATTCAAGAGAGGAATTGATAGATGACAGACACACACTTGGGAAAGAGAAGGGAGATAGGAGAGAGGGGAGATAAATATGAAATTAGATTGTTGGCATTCATAAGGAATTGGGATATGGCTGATTGCATTCATATCTCTGATTATTTAAGAATGAGAAAATTATAAGTGTACATACATAAAAAATGGTAACACTAATCACAGTTTCTGAAAATTTTGCCATGCTAGTCTATTGGATACTATAAACATTACTATAAATTTTCAACTTTTGTTTGCATTAACCAAGATGATTGCATCCATTAATTGCATTAACAGTTGATTGCGTCCATTATGTGTCAGTTGCCAGACAGGTGGTATCAGGCGCTTTCCATTACCTGTGGGATGTTAATTAGACGATTTACGTTATGGTCAGGATACATACTCAAAATAAGACTTTACTTTTTCAGCATTAAATGAACCCACCATAGATTACGGCTTTCAAAGGCTGCAGAAAGTCATCCCAAGGCATCCTGGAGACCCTGAGAGGTTAGCCAAGGTAAACTGCTTTGAGAATTTTACACATGAAAAGGTTTCTGTAGGATGTTGGCAAACTTAGACAAATCCAGTCATTTACCTGCCTTTAAAATGAATTGGGCTTTGAAGTTTAGACCTTAAGTCTCTTGGAATTTTTCTAGCTTTAGATACAAGAGGAGTACAACATCTCTACTAATTATGAGCTATATTATGATTCAATCTCTGCAGAAATCTATAATCTGAAATCGAGCTCTCCAAAACAAGTATACTATAAGAATATTTTGCTTATAAAACATTGCTAGCTTTTTGAAAATAGGTAATTGTATAATTGGTTCAACGTGTAAGTTCTCACTCCATCACACTGAAGTATGGCTTTTTCTACTTATGATGGCAGTAAAACACTAACCCCCAATCTAGTATTTAATGATTACTTATTATGCCCACAGGCATTTAACAGAACGAAAAACACCACCATCTACAATTTCTATCAAATACATCACTTTTAAATGAACTTGCTTGTGAAAATTGCATGATGAGTCTGACTCATTATTTTGCCTTTTTCCTAACTTAAAAAAATATATCAAGGCATTAGTTGTTATTCAAACCAAACCAAACTCACTGCCATTGGGTCAATGCTGACTCACAGTGGCGCTAAAGGACAGGGCAGAACTGCCCCTGTGGGTGTCTGAGACTGTACCTCTCTATGGGAGTAGAAAGCCCCTTTTTTCTCCCATGGAGCAGCTTGTGGTTTCAAACTGCTGACCTTGCAGTGAGCTCAATGTGTAACCACTGTGCAACTAGGGCTCCTAGTTGTCATTCAGTTAATGAGAAATGATTGAAACTTAAATGCCATTTGTAGCTTTGTTTTAAACACACAAATGAGAAGCCACTGTGTCCTGTTTTCTATACTGTGAGGGAAATTCAAATACCACAGTTGATTCAACATCACACCTTTATTTGCCTCTTGGAAAAATCCCCAGCCCCACCATGATATTAGATGATATTTGGAAAGTAGGTTAATAGCAATTTAAAAGGTTGTAAAAAACAGGAGGAGGAAAACACAAAATGAGAGGAAAGGGATTACTGATTACTAATTCTCCCCAGTTAAAACGAACAGGGAGAAATATTATTGAAAGAATTCATCTTTATTAGAATAAAATTTTACAGAATGCATTGCCAAGATAATTTCAGGACTCTGGACAGCACCTTGGCATGCAGCTAGACTCAGGTCAATCAATCATTTAAAACATATTTGGCTAATTTGGCTAATTAGAGCACTAGTGTTTTTGCTTTTGTTTTAATAGAATTGTCTGAAAGCATTTAAAAAATAGGATTTCCATGACATTTTTAATGGTAACTAACTCTATCAATTGTGTTGATTCTTTTGTTTGTTTGTTTGTTTCAGTAGTACAATCATTTATGGAACGATTTCATAGAAGTTAATTGCATGTAGATACATATTTATGGAGGGATTAATATATAGGATTGTATTCTTTCAACCCATATAGACAACTTCTTGACTAATGGCTTACAATTTAGGGGCTGGGGGGATGTGTAGGCGGTTCCCTTTGTTTTGCCATTTCAATATTGACCCTTTGATGATAGCCCACCCTTCCTCTTCTTTACCAGGAAATGCTGCTGAAAAGAGCTGCCGATCTAGTGGAAGCCCTCTATGGCACACCACACAATAACCAGGTTAGAGCCTTACATTCTGTGCACTGTCGAGCTTGACAATTCACTCTGGTAAAACACTCCTCTCCACTTGCCATTTCACAGGACATCATTCTGAAACGAGCCGCAGACATTGCTGAAGCCCTCTACAGCGTCCCCAGGAATCCCAGCCAGATCCCCGCTCTCTCCAGCTCTCCGGCTCACAGCGGCATGATGGGGATCAATTCTTATGGCAGCCAGCTTGGGGTCAGCATCTCAGAGTCAACCCAGGGAAATAATCAAGGTATGGCCTTTCTTGGATTCAAAGTCTAAACACCATAGACGTTTACTCTGCTGGAGTGGAAGTTCAAGTTCAGGGTGGAGTCAGGCACTGTGAAAAAGAATGTGTCTGCAGTTAAGAAATATAGTCATCTATGGGATTTTCTCAATATCGTAGATGGTATCTTGTTTGAGTATGAGCTTTACATTAGACCTCTTTACCTGGAAATCCCTAAGGACAAGATTTAGAAAGGGGAAGACTTGCTGAAGGGGAGCCCTGGTGCTGCAGTGGTCAACCACTGGGCTTCTGTCTGCCTGGTCAGCAGTTTGAAACCACCAGGAGGACCATGGGAGAGACTGGGCTTCCTACTCCCCCAAACAGCTACAGCAGGGGTTCTCAGCCATCCTCATGCCACCACCCTTTCTTACACTTCCTCCTGTTGGGGTGACCCCCAACCATAACATTATTTTTGTTGCTACTTCATAACTGCAATTTTGCTACTGTTGTGACTTGGGAGACCTCTGTGAAAGGGCCGTTCAACCCCCAAAGGGGTTGTGACCCCCAGGTTGAGAACCACTGAGTTACAGTCTCAGAAACTCACCGGGGTCACTATTAGTCCGCATTGACTTGATGGCACTGAGCAGGCTTATTGAGAGTAGGTTTAGAAGCATCCAGTGAATAAAATTTCTATCTCTGCTCTTGTGATAACCAGATTGAATAATGCAGCAAGGATGAGTTATTGCCGTTTTCATTTATTATACCCAACTCTCTCATCCTGGTAACCGATGGTGAAAAGCTTGGTTTTATTCCACAAATTCCAATGTTGGGTTATATCATTTATAAATCTATAGCAACAAAGATATATGGGGAAGGATGCTTTTATATGTAAAATAGATAGTGTTAAGACTATTTCATTGAGGCCAATTTATTCTTAAGGTGCCGCCCTAAATTGAACATAAAAGCAGGTTTTGAAAGACATAAATGTTCCTGATAATATCCTAAGTCTCGGCATATTTTGAAATATACTTTTATCAGAGCACTAGATGAAAGGACGCTATGTTTTGTTTCATTTGGAAAACACTAGGTCAAGAAAGCAAAGTTGGGTTATGTGTCCCTAGGCCCTTTAAGTGTGAGTCTGCAAAAAGCTGCTGCCGGAAACGGCACTGGCCAAGCTTGATTCGACTTCGGAATGCCCCTCCCAAGGATGCCAACGAGCCCCCGCAAGAGTCGAGTGCTACATGAAATGCGACTTGGGAGCTCCCATCCACAATGCATGGCTCACTCGTCCCTTGGTGTGAGACGGGAATGTGGAAAGAAAGAGCAAAGAGGAAATCTCAGGGACCCAGCCTTAAGGGAGGTGGGAAAGAGAGAGGAAGGTATACCACTCAACGGCAACCTTCAGTTGATTGGGACGCACAGTGACCCAATGGGACAGAGTAGAGCTGCCCCGTAGGGTTCCCAAGGCTGCGTGTAAATCTTTATGCAACTAGACTGGCATTGCTTTCTCCCATGGAGCCGAAGATGGGTTCAAACTGCCAACCTTTGGGTTGGCAGCCCAGTACTTGAGCACTAGAGCATCAAGGATTGAGGAAGAAATTAAAAGAGGCTAAAAACAAAGCGTCTGCTTTCCACCACTGTCCAAGGACATCTCGGTGCTATTCTATTGTCTGGGGCTGTCCTGGGCCTGTTCTAGCCACACACCTGCTCCACATTTGCAGGTTGATTTACATACGTTTTCTTTGGTTGTCAAGGATACATTCGCAACACAAGCAGCATCTCTCCTCGGGGATACTCTTCCAGCTCCACACCTCAGCAGTCTAATTACAGTACCTCCAGTAACAGTATGAATGGCTACAGCAACGTCCCCATGGCCAACCTGGGCGTTCCAGGGTCACCAGGCTTTCTCAACGGCTCACCCACAGGCTCCCCTTATGGAAGTAAGTGCCGTTTCCATTGAATGGCTTTCTAGCTCTGCGGGCCTCTGGCTTTTATATTCGACCTTCTTGGGGGAAAGGTGGATTCCCTGATCTTTGCAGCTCATTGATGAGGAGCCCACTGGCCCGATGATAAGCTTACCCTGACTTTTGTTGCTTTTTCTTAGCTGGGCTTTGGCTCCTTTGGCTTCTCCAAGCTTTCTGGGGGAAAGAACAGGAATGAAACTGCCCACCCATTTACAACGAGATTATGTGGTGTGGGAGGTTGGGAACAAGTGGTTAAGGTCCTGATTCAGGCCCACTTTTTCATTAGGTGTTTTCATAGGTGATATTTTATTCCATCATTAGCAGAACTTCCTGCGGTTAGTAATATCCTCTCCATTGCATACGTGCACAGACGTCCGCTGACTTGTGCAAGCTCACCCAGGTAGAAGAAAGCAGGCCTGTGCCGTGGCTGGAGGATGCACGCCTTCAGGTTATTGTGCACGACACTGCCTGACGCCTTCTAACTTTGTCTCATGGCTCTGCCCTCCCTTAGGTACGTCCTGAGAGTTGGGAGTTCACTGCTTCTGATAAGGCAATAGACTGAGACACCACCTCTGATCTTAACCTCTGGTCTAGCAGCAATTTAGATACTCTGGGAAGAGGTGAAAACTCTCCAGGTTGCTTTCGGGGCTAACTCAGGGAACTTACAAAAGGGTCCCAGGGCCTGAGAGCATCTGAGTGTTTTCCAAACCCACTTAGGGAAGCCTTCAGGTCACGGGAGAACTTGACAAGGAGAACCTGCAATGATTGTGGAGAAAGTTCTTGAAATGTTGGGTCTGCCAGCAAGGTTCTGCAGCACGCTCCCTTTCCCCCAGAGGGGTTCCTTTCTGCCCAGAGCTTTGGGAGCACGAGGACAGCACACAGCCGTGTCCACCAGCGCTCTGGCCGCAACATACGTGGGCCTGGAGGCAGGGGCTCCCAGCCTAGGGGGTGCTGGCTCCCCAGGGCCCACAGGGATGAGTTATTTCTGGGTTATCTGTCTGATCCGTATTTCCAACGCTCTCCACCAAGTAACAGTGGGCAGCTGAGGGTATCTCTCCACACCCAAACTACCGCGGGTTGCTGAAGCTGCATGACTTCGGCATTGTGCCCAGTCACATGGCCCCGACTGACTTAGCTCAGATGGACTCAGGAAAACAAATAATTGGTTTATTTGTTTGTTTACTTATTTGTTTTTACCTTCTCTTGTTCTACAAGTTATTCTTTCTTCTTTTTCCCCTGTGGGGGGTGGGGCAGGGGTGGGGCAGATCTAGGCAAAGAGCACAAAAGTATACTATAGGAAAGAAGTAACTGAAAAGAAAGAAAGAAAAACATGGTTAGATAAATTCTAAGGCAAGTATGGAAGAGGTGCAGTCTATCCAAGAAAGCCCCTGATTTAGTTCTGAGCTTAGGAGATGCTAAAGCAAAGAAGAAGAAATATACTGTATCATGTGTGTACACACACACATATATACACATACATATATACACTCACATATACATACGTAAAGATGTATATTTACATACACACATATATACAGTCTTAGGTTCATATGTTATTATCATTATTATTTAAGTAGCTTAGGAGAACACTGTTTATGTTGTTGAGTCCTTGTTAAGATTTCTCTACGAAATCTCACCGAGAAGACAAGGCATGTGGTGACGTTACAAAATCTCCAACCCCTAATAAAGGATGAGACACTCAGTTCATAAATAATGTCACATTACAGCGATGATGGCAGGAGGAGGAGGTACTCTGGAATCACATTCCACTCTACAGTTTAAAAATCACATTCACATGTAGTCCAGTCAGAGCGACACAACTTGGTGGCATAGAAACATAATTATTATTCTAATAATTTTAATAAATAAGAGTTATTAAATAATGTATGTAAGAACTCATAGTCAATAAATGGTAAAAATGAAACTAGAGCATACATCATCAGATTCAGAATACTATGTTTTTTATGATAAGAGAGACCTAATATACTTACAAAATATTATTCGGTTGAACAATTTGAAATTTCTTCTCCCGGATAATTTTTTGATTGACAGAAACACCTATATATAAAACAGGAAGGTAAATATAAAACTAAAATTCAATGCACAGGAAGAAACCAGGTGCCAGTTCATACTCGCCTGGGTTTATCCCCAGGAAGACTTGTGTACGCATGTCTTTGGCTCAGTGGCTATGGAAGGTGCCTTCAGAAAAACACAACCCAATCAGAACAGTGGCTTCTGGGGCGATCTGTGGGAACACTTGAATGAAAGGCGAAGAGGCCAGTTCAGACTGTTAGGATAACTTCTGGGGACTCCAAAGGGGATACTTTTGGTCGATTTTCGGCAAGAGCACAAGATAAGCTGACAAGGGCTTATTGGAAAGGAGCTTTAAGCAAAGTGAACACTGCCTTGGTGAGCAATTGGCCCTGAGAGCTGCGCTGAGACATGTTTTGGGCATCGTGACAGCGCACCTGGTCATTCTGGGAGGCAGCAAGGGCTACCCAATGGGAATTTCATTGGGAAACCTTCTACTCCACAGCTCTGACCTGGCCTCTGCAGACTTCTCTTTGCTCAAAGAATATTTCGATGGGATATGATTGGATTCTTTGCCATTTTTAACACGGTGTAAATCGAGGAGCCCAGAATTCTCCAGGGACATGTTAGAGAGATGGACTCACCATTCTCCGAGGTGGACCGACCTAGTTGGGGCTACATCGGGAAGCAACTGCTTTCCATTTGGGATATTTTTGTTTAATCAACGTTTCTATGGGGAGCAATCATTTTAAAATTACCCTCATATATGTACTATATTGAACCACAGGACATTATTGTTTTGTCAATTAAAAATGCTCACCCTATTGTTTTGTCCATTACAAATGCTCATAAAGCGTGTAGTATATGGAGGCAATGAGAGAAAGAAAAAGATGCTTGCAAGGGTCCACTTGATTCCTTGGCAGGGACCGATCCTTCCTTTCCTGCTGCCACATTCCAGCAAGCGACAATTTCTGTCCACTCCCCTTCCCCAAATGAACTTCTGCAAGGAGAATAACAACACCCCAGCTCTTCAGATTGTTCATGAAAACAAGACCGCACATAGGAAGCAGGGGAGCAAAAGAGAGGCCCAACCGAGAAGGGAAACTGGCACAGAGAAATTTCTCCTTCTCCCTAATACTGGTGTGATCCTTTGCACCCCTGTTTTCTGAGGGAGAGTCTGAAGGAGTGGCAGGCTGGCACTGGGATTCCAAGCAGGGCATCCATTACAATAAAATCCCCTACTTAGAAAATACTGAATGCCCCATGGAGTTCATTACAGTAGTATCTGTCCTGTGGTTTTCTAACCAGCTAAGTCTTCAATTCTCTGGGAAAAAACACCCAAGGGAAAGGCTATTTTGTCAGTTCAGTTGCTTGTGTCTGAAAAGACAATTCTATGGGTTTTCATTTTTATTATTTAAAGTAGTCCGATGTGGCTGGACCAGGGAGACATTAAAGAGAAACCAAGCCAAGCCTTTCCGGCGAGTTTGGTTTGCCTTCCAGCCAAGGCTGGAGCATCAGAAACCTGCATCTTGACTGTTGTGCACTCACACGGCTTCGAAAATATCCAAACAGATGTTTTTTCAATTTTACATACAAACTTCGCTTCCTGGCGGTAGCAGTGTGTGCCAAGTTCCAGCTCGGTGCAAGTTTTTATGGCTGAATTCTAACCCCTTGGCAACAGGGGGTTATAATGAAATGCTGACAGACCCCTTAGCGTCGACAAATGCCATGGCTCGCTGAGAAGGAGGATGTGTGCCCTGTGGGCTCCAGCAAGCCAATCAGTGCTCCCAAGAAGAAAAGTGGTTTTTCTTGAACTCCCCGTGTTCACATAGATTTGGGGGCCTGGCATGCTTGCTTTGGCTTTGGCCTTCTTCCTCAGAGAGAGACAGAGAGCGCTGTTGGGAGAATGCCAGTTGTGGGTCGGTGGGATCAAGTGACCCAAAGTGGGGTACCCTGCTCTCCCCTGAGATAATCTAACCAAAGTCCCTGTAACACCACAAGGACCTCCACAGGGCAGAAGATCCACCAACCAGTCTGAAGTTAAATCAAACCAAACCCACCACCCAGTCAATTCTGACAGTCACCCTGCAGGACAGGGTAGAGCCGCCCTTGTGAGTTTCCGGGCCTAACCCTAGGAGACCACAAAACTCTTTCTTTCTCCCGAGGAGAAGCTGATGATTTGGGAAGGCTGACCTAGATAGTTAGCAGTGCAACGTGGAATCACCGTGACACCAGGGCTCCGTAGGTTGGTGAAGACACATACCTACCCACATGTGAGAATGCAACCTCTCCTCTGCGAATCCTACTTCCCTGACTGAGACTACGTCCTGGGCTTTCTCCACCGTTTACTGTTTCTAAAACGGCCTAGCCAGACCTCTTCTGTTGCCTAGCACTGAACAATTACTAGGGACAACTTGAAACGTAAGAAAATAACCTATGAAAGAAATCTGTCTCCTGCGGTAATCAACAACTTCTTATGATAGTTTCCTACCTTTCTATGATCTTTTCCTTTAGCAAAGAAAAAAGTCATTCACAATAGTAACATTCTCATTATAGGTAATGTGAAAGAGGTATGTGGGGTGGGGGTGGGGGGTAGGTGGGCGGGGGGGTAAAAGAAAAGAAAAATGACGCATTATCCCCATGCAGAGATTGTTAGCACTGAAAGCATAGCCCTCCGGTCACAGGGAGATACATTTTGAAAAGTGCGATGTCTGCACTGATGCACAAACGATGATATTCGGCCGTAAGATCAATGAGAGAGAAAGTGGAGGAAAAGTGACAGTTTCCCAAAGTTACAGATATGTCACCAGGCTTTAAAAAAACGATGCAGATTTACACCCTAAAACAGGGCATGGAGATGTTAGGTGTGATGTTTGCTGCCACCCCACCCCCACCCCCAGGATTAAAGGGGTTTCCAATGATTTGTTTTTGTAATGGAGTTGCTAATAGATAACTTTGTTTACAGACAGCAATGCCTTAAGTTAAGGAAGAGCCATAAATCACTCACAAAGACTATGAGGCTGCTGCAAAGGATTGTCTAGGATGATTCAGGGGTAGAATGAATTCTTACCTTCCGTGGATTCACCCAGCTGTTACGTTGCTATGATGCTGAACAGATTTCAGGGAAGCTTCCTGACTAAGAAGGACTAGAAAGAAAGACCTGACGATATGCTTCCAAAAATGTCCAACAAAACTCTAGGCATCGACAGAACTTGACCGATTGTAGTGGTTCGATCTGCCACAGAGACTGGATGCGACAGGTGCAGGCAGGGTTTTTTTTGGGGCAGTTAACCTACTGGGCGGCAGCTGACAACAGAGATTGTATTATTTCCTACCAAAGTAGCAAGACTCTCCATGTGTAAACATTAATAGCCATTATTGGTTTCTCCTGCCTTAATAGCAATACATGTCCATTGCATCGAATATTGAAATGATGGGCAAATAAAAAGATGAATTTAAGAATACTCCTAATCCTATCAGCTAGAGATACCACCATTAAAATTTAAGATGTATATCACAATATGTATCCTCTAGATTTTGATGTACATACCGTATGAACTCGAGTATAGTCCTAGTTTTTCAGCACATTTTTAATGCAGTTTTTGTGGTAAAATTAGGTGCTCGGCGGATATTCGGTTCAGCTTATACTCGAGTATATACGGTATGTGTAATGAAAGGGAGACTTGGATGGACACGTTGTCTTGTCATCTGCTTTCTTCACTTGTGGAACTAGATAGTCACTGTCATTAAGTAATCTTCTCCAACACTAGCTCTAACATTCGCCTAACATTCCATTGCATTGACTTCATCTCATTCATCCTGCTGCTGGCCATTTATTCCCTATTTTTTTTTTTTATCGTTATAAAACAGTACAAAAGTATCCTTAGATCTATTTCTTTTTGTATTCATGATTATCTCCTTGGGATTCATTTCTAGAAATCAAATTACTAGGTCAAATGATATACACATTTTCAGATACTTTGTATCCCTCAAGCCCCTCCAGAGAGATGAATTCTCCCCTCAGAAGAGGAAAAGTGTCTATTTCCCTGCCCTGATCATTTTTCTTAATCTTTACCAATTTGGTAAGTAGAAAAGAACATCGCATGACTGTTTTAATTAGCACGTTATTACTAATACATCTGAATGCTTCCCTATAGGCCTCTTAGCTATTTTCATTTCTACTTTTTATGACTTTCTTTCTCCTGTCCTTTGCCCATTTCTTTTTTGAATTAATTTGTAAGAATGTATTAGCTATGAAGGACATTCGTATTTTGTCTAAATCGGCCTTGCAAATGTTTTTCCCAATTTACCATTGGCATTTGCTTGTGTGTTACACAAGTGTTTCTGCTTCCCACTCTCTTTGGAAGCTCCATTCAATCTTCCGCATTAGATTTAGAAACTAGAAAGTATACAAAGTGTGTAAATTATATAACCTTTCTCATTTTCTAGCAGGAATTGATTTTTACCATTAACTCTTTCATCTACTTAGATTAATTTTGGCATTTAGCATGAGGAAGTGAGCTACATTTATTCTAGGTTATAAATAGCTTATTGTTCCGGGACATTTATTTCCCCACTAATTTGAAATGTCACCTTTATTATGTATTAATTCTCACATATGCCCAGCTCTGTTTCTGGACTCTGTTTTATTCTGAGGCTCTCTCTGCCTGTTTCTTTGCTACTGCGCTAGTACAACACTAACATCCCTATTCCAGGTTGTGTGTGTGTGAGTTTTACTCTCTGCTAAGATAAATAGCCCCTCTCACTACTTTAAGAAAACAGCTAACAGTGTTCTGACTTTAATGACATATTTGTTTCTTTGCCACAGGAATTATTTTGTCAAAGTACACACATTTCTTAAACATGTTAAAATTTGTATTACCATTGCCTTAAATTCTAAATTTAGTTGGGAATAATTTCATGCTTGTACAAAATTTTTTATAAAACTATTTTTAAATGGGCTTTCCCTCATCCCAGGAGTCTGTGGCAGATCTTTCCTTATTCTCCCTTTAACGGATCCTGTGTGTTTCTTGCTAAGCTTGGGGTGGTTCCTCTCCTGCCGAGACGCAGCCGTGTTGACTCAGTAAGCCCCACATCAGGATGGGACCTATTATCAGAAACCAATATTTGTAAAAATGATTCATGTGTGGGCTACACATGGGAATGAGAGTGTGCAAGTGGATGTCTCTCTACATGCCTAACCAACGATGTGAACCTCCTTGTCCAACATGGTGCGTGAGGGGAGATGCTGATATTACAGACATAGAGACCCAGGCCCCAGCCTCGCGCCTGCATGGAGCATGGAGTAAGGGTGCAGAATCATGACCTCAAGTGTTTGCTTGCATTCAGCCTCTAATTGTGAGCCTCGGGAAAGAGGACAGTGTGTCTATATCTGTGTCATTGACGTAAAAACCAAGCCTAGGAATACAGAATTTCCAGGAACTGTAAGTGAGAGCCACTCTTGGTGTCCAGGTTTTGAGTGTGTGTGTGTGTGTGTGAGTGTGTGTGTGTGTGAGTGAGAGTGAGTGTGTATGAGTGTGTGTGTATGTGTGTGAGTGTGAGTGAGAGTGAGTGTGTGTGTGTGTGAGTGTGTATGTGTGTGTGAGAGTGTGTGAGTGTGTGTGTGTGTGTGTGTGTGAGTGTGTGATGTCTTGATGTCTTCATCTTCTTCACATTTTCAAGCGCTGCACATGATTCTCCTGGTAGTCCATCCATCTCCTTTTGCAACGTTTTCATTCAATTCATGTTACTTGAAGAAAGAAATATACTGCTATACTTTAAAAATAAAGACTTCCTACGGGAGACAGATGAGACTCTCGACTCCTGTAATGAGTTACAGTCTCAGGAACTTACAAGGATGGCTCTACACGGTCCTGTAGGGCCACAATGACTTGGAATCGACTTAATGGCAGTGAGTTTGATGTTTTTGAGTTGGATAAGTGGTCTTCAGATGGTGTTCTTTTGAAACCTTTGGTTTGGATTTCAGCTGTAGAAACCAGCATAGCAGAGAGATGCTGCATGATTGTTTCATACCTTCGGCTAAGGTCCCATCTCTATGGGGGAAGTGGTGGTGGTGCAGCATTGTATTCTGACACAAGATCTCCACATACTTAACCATCAGTCTATTTTGTGCCTGGGCATTGGACCATAAATCACAAACTTTATTTTCCCTGTTTACTTTGTGGGAGAGCTTGTCTTCTGGAGATAGAAGCCATGTGTTAGTCTCTTGGTCTTTTGTACTGTGGGCATTGCAGTTATTGTTGTTAGTTGCTGTTGAGCCATTTCATCAGGATTCCGTGTTGGATAAGACCAGTCATCCAACTCAAAAAAATCAAACCTATCACCATGTGTTAGAGAGTCAAACTGCTCCATAGAGTTTTCTTGGCTTTCATCTTAACAGAAGCAATTTGCCAGACCTTTTACCACCCTGGTACTTTTAGATGGGTTAGCCTTCAAGGAAAACAAAACAATTTTGTTGAGAAGTGATGTGACTGGGGCAGTTCAGAATTGTGGGAAGTAACAACATGAGGAGTCCCCAGAAGGTGACCTTATCCTGTAAGGTGCCATCCCTAACAATTGAATCCATGTAAACACTAGTTTACCCTTTGCTTGAGTCAGTTGGCCAGAGAAAATAAGCTATCTTCTTGTGTGCTGTAACTTGGTGGAGTATCCGACATTGAGAGGTGGGGCCCTTTACTGTGTGAATCGCCTTTATTTTTCTTGGCAATTCCAACACTTAGCTTTTGGCTTCCTTTAAGTAATTTTAATGGTAATATTTTAATATCAATGCTCTTTTCTCCCTAAACATTCTGTCAGAAGAATCTGTCTTGCAGCTTTTATTTCCCAGGAGCTCTGAAAGTACAGGGAAAGGGAGGTAATCTACAAAATGTTAATAAATTTTTACATTTAATGAGAAAGTGTCCCGTGGAGATGAGGATTCTGGAGGACTTTAGCCCCATAGATCAAAGCGCGGGAGCCCGGCGCATCCCAGGGATGCACATAGTTCCCAGACAGAGCCAGCTTGTTAGGGTGAAAGGAGTCTTCCATTCTTGAGTTGATGTGATCATTTGCAGACGCCCTGATCCCAGTAGCCTCCTCTTGTCCAGCTTATCCTCTTGAATTAAGACTTCCCTCCATATCACGTCCTGCATGGTGGCTCTCCTGCCTCCAAACTAGAAGAAAATTCTATCCTCGGTGTCTCCTTCGCAGCGTGTACATTCCCTCCACCGCCCCCACGCCATCTCTTTGCTTGTCAATCCCCTCCATTGGACAGCACAGTAGCTGCACCTCCTTCAACTCATTGATCCTGGACATTGACCACAATGCCTAGACGTTAGCAACCTCTCAGTAAATGTGTGCCCAATGTCTGTACTGAAAGAACCGTGTAATTTCCATGACCCCTGTTCTAAGAGACATTTGTGCCTTTGCTTTCCAGTCATGTCCTCGAGCCCCACCGTCGGCTCTTCCAGCACGTCCTCCATCCTCCCGTTTTCCTCGTCAGTTTTCCCTGCCGTCAAGCAGAAGAGTGCCTTTGCTCCCGTCATCAGGCCCCAAGGCTCCCCGTCGCCAGCCTGCTCCAGCGGCAATGGGAATGGATTCAGAGGTAGGCAAAGGGACCGGGTTGGGAGTAAGCAGATACCTGAGCCATAGGACCAGCCAAGGAAGGGTAACATTCTCACCCTTTGCTCTCTCCCCCCCATCTACCTGCCGCCCTGGGTTGTGCAAATGGCAAACACACTCGGCTGCTAATGAAAAGATTAGCAGTTTGAATCCCTAGAGGCATCTCAGAAGAACACCTTGGCCATCTACTTCCAAAAGATGAGCCATTGCCAACCCTCCGAAGCACAGTGTTCTACTCTGGCACCCACCGGGTTGCCGTGAGTCCAAATCTACTCCACTGTCAGTGGTTTTAGCCAACTACCAACTACCACACGGGACACCAACAGCTTATACGGTAAAAGGGGCGCTCATTCTCCATCTCAAAGAAAGATGGGGGAGGACCAGAAAACCAGCAAACTCCACCAGAGCCACTGAGTTCCTTGCTAGATGCACTTATGGAAGCCAGGAGTCCTGGATCGGCAGCACTGTGCTTGTCACAGGCCCTTCCACTGGATCCAGGTGTCTGGATCCCCCCACTGACTTGCATGTGGTGACAACGGACTCCCTAATCTGCTTGCCATCTGCAGTGCATACGCCTTTCCAGGGCGCACAAAGACGGGGTCCGGCATCAGGAGCGACCGACCCATTCTGAGAATTCTGCTTGCAGGCTGGAGAAATTGATAGCAGGTGCCTGATCAAAGAGGGAGTGGTAGGAAAGAAAGGAGAGAGACATGTTGTTTTTTAAGAAGAAAAAAATTAATATCACCCGCCAAATCCATTTTTGAGCAATGTCCTACAATGTAATTTGACATGACGTAACACAAATGTGATGAGTACATGAGAGTCTAATCACCTCGTGGTGAATGGGAGGCAGCTGATGGCCAAAAGCAAATTGGAAACTGCTGAGCACTGTGGATCGGCGGCGACTCAGAGTATTTTTAGTCTGTTCCACACGTCTTGACATGCAAACATTCTCAACAGCAGTGTTGGAGAAATGCAATAGGGACAGAGGCTCCGTTAACCCCTTGTGGATCAAAGCCTCTGAGATGTCAAAGCTTAACAAAGAACCTTGGTTGAGCTCCTGGAATGGCCCTGACCTAGTGGCTTTATAATAGGGAATGGGGCTCTAATCCTTTTGGAAAACCTTAGCAGGTTCCTTCGCCAGTTGTGGCTTCTCAGAGCCCCGGATGGCTCCTGTCCCTGAGAGGATGGCATCTCATCCAAGCCAAGTGACGAGGCAGGAAAGTCTCAACACCTGAACAGAAAGCCCAGTGCTCAGAGGAACAGAGGCACTGGCATTCTCTCTTCTGACTCAGCAGAGGACCCTGCGTCTCTACATGCCACCCGGTGTGTCTGTCACCCGGTGATTGGCAATATCTGCATGCTCCATGGGACGTTTCCTTTCGGGTGTCCCTCCAGATGTCTGATCCATAGAGAAACAAGCTCAGCCCTTAGCTCAAGGTCAGGACAGACACCTGCCCTGTCTCTCCTCAAAGACCAGCCATCCCTGTATTTTTAGGGGGTGTTCCTAGAATGTTTCCCATGCTGACTTTGTCTCCAGGCCAGGAAATGAAATGAACAGCTAAGTAATGGCTTCACCATCTTGTCCCCACACCGCTTCAGTGAGGATGGTATCCCCGCCCCCGCCCCCCCCACCCCCACCCCCCTTGTGAGGAGAACCTGGACTGGGCTGCCAGAGCCTGCGTGCTTACCCACCGCCCTGCCCCTTTCAGGAGAAGAGGGAAGAAACACTGGAAAGATGTGGTCCTTTCGTCATTCCCAGCATCATTTGCATAGATTGCCAGCTTTACTTTTAGAGGGAAAAAGTGTTCCTTGACCGTCCCCTGCCGCCCCTCACTCACCCCGCTCACATGCACACCGAATTTGGGGACATTAGAGCTGATGATCTCAGCTCTCCTCAGGCGATATTGTCCCAGGATCCTCATTGGGGGTAGGGCTGCGGGGATGGGGGCCTGCCTACTGTGGGCTTGCACTGATGCCAGGACAAAGTCTCCCCTCCCTCTCTGGGACTCTGATTCTACTTCGCTTTTTGGTGCCTGCCCAATGCCCTGTATGGTCCATGCCATGCAGTCGTGCCAGGCCAAAGAGCTGGAAGATCGCCTTTAAGGCCCTTGGTGAGGTTTCCCTGTGGTTGAAGCAGCAGGAGCAGCAGCAGATCTAGTCAGGAGACCTACTCTAGGGTTGTCATGACAACCTCTGGTCACCAACGGTGAGGATGCTTGGCCCAGGGGCTGCGCAGTCTTGGATTTGTAGGAGTGACAATTCAGGTGGTGACACACAGGCATTCATTCTGGGCCCTCACTTCATTTCTGTGGGATTACTGTGGATCTCCAAGCCTCTGTTGGAGCCTACATCTCCCTCCAGAGAATAGGAAACTAGATTTATGTTTTGAAAGAGAAAAAAAAAAAGAGTATGCTTATTTAGGATTGTAGCCTAAAACAAGCTACAAATAAATTGCAAGGGTCGAGTGGTGTGGGGACAGAAGAGAATTCTGAGGAGACCCTGACAGAGTAGTTAGCGCTGGGAGATACCTGGATCGGAGCCCCCCAGCAGCGAGTTACAGTCTAGCTTGGCCCCTCCAGGGCGCTGCGAATGTGAGCAAGCTGTGATCCCCTCAGAGCCTCCGTTCCTAGTCTGTTGCCCAGGGTAAACATGGCAGCCACTTCCAGCGGTGGCTGTGAATTAAGGCTGGGAAGAACGAAGAAAGATAAAGGATTCACAGTGTGAGATACACTATTCCATGCAGCCTGGCAGAGTTTACAAGGCTGGCCTTCTGTCTTAGGCCCCCGTTGGAGGTAGCTGGAACCAGGTGAATGGAAGCGCAGGGCTGCAGATGGGAAATGCCCCCGAGTTGTCGAGAGGGTGAAAGCCAACTTGACCCTTTTAGCGCAGGGATCCCCAGCAACGCAGGCCTGCCGAGCAGGAAGCTCACCTCTTTGGAGATTGACAGAGAGTACAAGGGTGGGCTGAAACCCCCCCGGGCTCACCCTGAGGGAGAGGCTCCTTTCTAAAATGACTGTGCGCTGAGATGGACGTATTCATCTGCAAAGGGCTTGAGCCACAGTGCTGTCTACCATGCGCTAATACTTACCCAGGGTGCAACTGCCGAATGGAGGAAGGGACATGACTTGAGTTATCTCATCCTGACCCTCACTCAGCAGAAGATGATCCCATGCTGTGTTCAGTAGCTGGCCCCACGCAGGGATGGCCTGAACCTAGACTTTGACACCAGAGCCTTGCACTGACCCACTGCCCGCCCACCATCCCTCCCCGGACAATAACAATGCGATTCCTCTCTCCACCCAGGGCTCATACCTACTTTCCACCTGGACCAAAGGGAGAGTATTGCTTTTCCATGAAATGCCAAAGGTAAACAGGACCTGCAGTGCAATGAGACAGCCCCTCCCGCGTGAAAATGCTTACTTTCCCTCCAGTTAATTTCTGCTTTCTGTCTGTTGACTGTGATTTTTACAAGCAAAACGTCAGGGTCTCCAACTCGTAGAAACCCAGCCTCCCCAGTGCTCACTGAGAGGCCAGGAAGGATCCAATGTAGACAACTTCTAGCAAGTGGTGGATCTTGTTCCTTGAGCAGCTATGCCCATTCCGTAAATGCATTTAGCTAACGCTCTGCAGACGCAGCAAAAGGAAGAAGCTGAGTGCTTTGAAATGGAGCCCTGTTGGTGCCACAGTTAAGCTCTTGGCTGTTCATCGAAGGTTTGGCTGTGTGAATCCACCCAGGGACTCCGTGGGTGAAAGACCAGATGATCTTTGTCCATCACAGGTGACAGTGTAGGAAACCTTATGGGGCTGTTCTACTCTGTCCCACGGGGCCATGACGAGGGGGCAGGGTCGACTTGGTGGGACTTAGCAATAGCCAATGACAAGGAGGAGCTTTACCTGTAACAGACAAGTGAAAGTAAAAAACAAAACACAACACTGTACACAATTCTACTGCCAGTCCATATGCACGCAGCTTGCGTTGTCCCCCCTCGTATGTGCTTCTCTGGGTTCAGGCATTTCCAGTGATGAGTGTCGATTGTCAGGATCATATTAAACACTGTGTGCCTGGTTGCTTTGCCAGTTACCTCCAGGAAAAATATAAAATAAGAAACTTCTACACTCTGGGATAATTACCAGAGTTGCTATATCTCCAAACCATCAGGGAGTGTCCAGGATTGAACCACCTTTATTGAAAAGTCACATCGATTCAATATACAGTAATACAGGCAAAAATAATTAAGGCTTTGCTCGCTGTGTAAGACCTTCATCCAGATCCGACAAACATTCAATAAAGGCTCTATGGGCAGGGAAGTAGACGGCTGACAGGTCTGCCTGAGAGGACGAGCCGGTGGGGAACAGGGCAGAGGGATATGAGAGAGAGAGAGAGAGACAGGCATGGGCTAGGAAGAGTGGGGAGACTGGGGGCCATTTGCTTGTAACTAGAACACAGCACAAATGCTTCTCTGACATCTGCTAAACCCTTAGATGAGATGTAGACAATACCACTTCAAGTGTCTAATTCTAGATGCGGTTTGAACTTTTGATTCAAGGAAAATATTCTGGCAGTTTCCAAGAATTTGAAAAATTCTCTTAGTTCATCATCTGACAGCCAGGGCCTGAGGAGCACACAATGCTGTGTGACTTCGCCCACATGGTGTGGATGTTAAGGAGCCCTGGTGGCACGGCGTGCTAAGTGCTGAGCTGTTCAACACAAGGCCGGTGGTTGAGACTTGCCAGCCAATCCGTGAAAGAACGATGAGGCTGTCTGAGTCCATAAACAATTATAGCCTCAGAAGCCCCTGGGAGCAGTTCGACTCTGTCCTGTGGGGTCTCTACGAGTTGGGACAGACGTGATGGCAGTGTTTATGAGAGGGTGCTGTGGCTGCCTGATTTCAGGGGGTGGATGGGATTCCATATGATCACGAGAGGAAGGCGGGAAGGACGCCACCCTCTCCTCATTCCTGGAAACGCCTGCAAATATTTTCAGCTTTATTTTAAGAAAAGTAAAAAGGAAAATAGTTACTTGACCTCCCCCTGCCACCCCTCTCCTGTGCCCTTCCCACTTGCCCTGAGTTTAGGAAACTAGAGCGGCCATTGTCTCCGGTCTCCTTAGTCTGTAAGCCCTGGAGTCTCCCCCACGAGCAGGGACTGTCCACATTCCCTGGAGGAGGTGAGGGGGCATTGGAGAGCAGGTGGAGAGTGGAGGTGGAGATGACTCTCAGGTGAGGTGCTCAGAGCAGTCTCCTGTTCAGGGGACCCGTGTTCTGTCAGCGAGTGGACGTGGGAGATGAGCTGTGAGCACGGATGGACCAGGACCCAGTTAAAACACCTAGCAAATCTGGTTTAGATCAGAATGGGTAGACATCCAGAATGGGGTCTAAAGTCTGATTTGTTACCATTGGTGCCTCCTCACCGAATGAAGAGGTGCAGCAGCTGAAATGTCCCCTCCTGTTCTAACCAAGTTATTTGGAGTAATAAAACCTGGTGGCTGTTTTAGCCTAAGAATAACAACAATAATAATGTATCACGCTCAAATGGCAAGCTAGAACAACTCATTTATATGGAACAAAACCAAACCTAACTCTTAGTTTCCCTAGCAAAATTCTGCCCATAAGCTTGGTGTAGATCTCAGAGATTAAACAAGGCTCCAGTACCTCTTAACACGCTGTCAGCTGGCCCAAACCTGGGAGAACATTGGTTGGAAGGTCAGCTGAGGGCACCGTCTCCCTGGATTGTACCGTGGGTCTCCGCCCCTTCCCCTCTCTCTGTGCTTCCTGCTCTGATGTGAACTGTCTTCACCCCTCTTTCCTGTGCCTCCCTTTCTTTACAGCCATGACCGGCCTTGTGGTTCCACCGATGTAAAGAAGAGGAAGAACTGCTTGTTTATAGCACAGAACTACTTCTGCTGATGGACTGATATCGAGGAAAGCACGAGGAGCCCTTTGGGAACGTCATACCCCAAATGAATGTGACGGACAGGTGTGGGTATGCCAGGAGCCTTCATTTGACTGGGTCTCACCTTTCTTCTGTAGCTGCGACGGTGGCTACACAAACTGACCTTCTTGTGGACAAGGACAAAAAAATGATGTCGTTGACATGGTCAGTGTGCTAAGAGCAGAAATGCTATCCTTTGTTATGAACATTACAAAAACCACCTTCCTCTGTTTGTAAAATATTGAAGAAAAAAATTGGCAAACAATTCATGCTTAATATTTTGGATACTATTTGTTTTTCTTTGTAGGAAAAAAAAAGTTGAAAGTTTCTATTTTCTATGAATCCTTTCAGATACCAATTTAGTTTATGCAGAAAAAAAATTGAACAAAACAGGGTACCAGCATGGCAGACTTTCTTAAAACAAAACCTGAATTGAGTGATGAAATGTTGTGTGTGTTTGCTTATAGTTTAATCTCTTAATAAACAAACAAACAAACAAAAAACAAAAAAGGGGAAACTTTTAAAATGTTTTACAATTATTTAAATAAATAAACGTGTAACTTATTGTAAGTAGAAGTAGACCTGGGGGGGGGGGGGGAAGAGAGAGGATTTTCTCTTCCTGATGTAAAATGAGAAGGAGGCAAACGTAGTAACAAGTTTAAAAAGTGTGTGATGATTAATACAGTTACTTACTAGGCTCTCACCCCCTCTTACGTCCCAAACTCCCTTATTTTTTCTCCATGATTTTATTGACCCGTGGGCAAGAACTTAACCTAGATTCCTGCAGAACAGCCCAAGATAGAAGAAGAAAACCCTCATGTACATGCACATCCACTGATCCGCAAGCCCATCAACTTGTCCCCAGCTCCGCCTACTTTCTTTACAGTCCACCAGTCCCTTTCGGTGTTTGCTCCTCGTGAGTAGATAGTTTAAAACGCATATTCCCTTTCTACGTATGTTCTCTCCTGAGCAGTGCAGAGAATTCCTGCATTCCAGGGTGCCTCAGGCATTGAGCATCCCAGGGAGAGAAGTATCCCCACCCACGCCACATGGCCTCCTTCCCCGCGGAGCCCCTTGGGATTTCTTCCTCGCCAGAGTGACCCACTTGCTCCTCTTTGGTTGCCTGTTTCAGCACAGAAGTAGAAGCTCCAAAGCGCTGCAGGAACAGGGATTGAAAAAGACCCCCCTGGTGGCACCGTGGGTTAAGCACCAGGCTGCCCACCAAAAAGTTGGCAGTTCAAACCCACTAGCCAAGCCGTCCTCCAAAGGAAACTGGGGCTGTGCACGCCCATGACATCTCCAGCCTCAGAGACCCCAGGGAGCAGTTCTACTCTGCCCTAGAGGGTCGCGATGGGTCAGACTCAACCCCATGGCCTTAGGCTTAAGGATCAGTCTTAGAATGTCCAAGTCCTTTTCTCTCTCTGCCAATGTCCCCATCCTGGCAGTAAACTCTCTAGCGGGTGTGTGAAATGTCTCTAATGAACAACTTGTTAATGAACAATTTGCTTTCCAGAAAGATAGAGGCGCTGGGTTGAAGATAGGGAGAGGAGCGCCCAGGGTTTCTAAATCCCTCCTGCGATGGTCCTAGAGATGAGAAGCCAGATCTGCTCGAAGCAGCACGGGCATCGGTCCTTCCGAGGAGGAGCTTCCTCCCGTAGTTCTGTGACTAGCGTGTAGTGAGGAAGGCCTTGCGGTAGCTGCCAACAGGGCCCGCTTCTTTCGGGGGGTGCTCCAAAGCCCGTGTGATCCTGGGGGTGGACCCAGACTGACCTGGACTGCCAATCGGGGTGGCAACCCCGCCAGGGTTCTCTTTGTTGACTCGTTGGCACCACAGTTTAGACTACATAGACTTCGGTTTGGGGTTCTCAGCTGGTGTCCCCACACTAGAAATGGATGCAGCTCCCCTGGAAAGCCTCCTTAGTGATTCTGAGCCAATGTTAGATGCTTTGTGAATTCTGCACCCCTTTCTTTTTCCCATGTGCTACATCCCTGCACCCACCCCCCCAACCCCCCAGCTGTCTCATTTGCCTTTAATCCATCCCGGAATTACCCCAATGCAACCCAAATATTATTTCTATGCACATGAGAATCCAAGGTTTTGGAAACCTGGCATGCTTCTAACTATTGCTGACAACCCCTCACAGTCGGGGTTGAACGCGCCCGAATACACAGAAACACGTGGGAGAATGTTCCCCAGTGAAAGACTCCTATGGGAGGGGACAGTGCGTGGAATGCAAACATTGCCATCCCAAAATGAAGGCACAACAAAATTCAGCATGCTTAGGCCTGGATTTGAGCCAATCCAACATAAGGAAACATGTTTTTTTCTTTTTTTAAGTAGCATTGCTTTTAGAATCTGTGAATTTTGCTCTTGCATGAAGATGAGTGCAGTACTGTCTTCAAAATGATTGTAGAATTTGTTGGTAGCTTTATACCGAAAAACAAAAAAACCGTGTGTAATGAAATACCGGACATTCTTGACCATTCAGCTTAGAACCTCGGCGGCGGCAGATCTATTTAATTGTATAAATGTGTGTAAGGACTATTTTTAGTGTAATAAATTAAAATCAAAGTTACTCTGTCCTCTTTAGTCATTGCTGTTGTATCATCCCAGTCCCAGGTTATTATTATTATTATTATTATTATTGTTATTTTTGTGCCACTTGGAATAACAAGTATTTCTATAGGAAACTACAAAATCTATCCTATCTTTGTAAGAGGAGCTGTGTATGATGTTTTCGTTTTTGTTTTTTCCATTTAAAGGGACAACTTCCTTCACTATTGATCTCATTTTCCTTTGTTATAACATCATAATTCTTCCCAGTTTTTTTCCTTTGCACATATCGATATGCATGGTTTAAAAACCATTATCCTCTCCATCTTTTGTACAGCAAAGCCTCATTTTCAAACTGTATAGTTTCAGTTTGTTGTTTGCTTTGTCAGTTAAATACAGTATAAAGTCGCTATGCACAGAGCTTTTTGTAAAGACAGCTTTTTTTTTGGTTTACTGTTTTTAATGGTCTTACTTATGAAAGAATATCTTGTTTGTAAAATGAATATGTCTACTTCAGTTTTAAACTTTAAATTATCCTAACAAAAAAAATAAAATTTTTGTACTGTAAGAATGGTGAGATCTCCGGCGTTTTGTTTTGTGAAGTGGAAGAGACCTCAGGTGGAGGGTGTTTCTCATAACTTTGGACACTCGGACACGAACTGCTGGGCCTTGAACTTTGGTTGGGGGATTTTTACTGCAGTTTTCGGAAGAAAGACATGGAGGATTGTAGGTCATTCCCCCCATATTTATCTTTCTATCCCATCTGATAAAATTCCTGCATAAAACAGATAATATTTGGGGTGAAGGAAAGACTTCAGGTAGGTGGGCAACCTGTTTGCTGAACAAGAGTTCTATGTTCATCCCACACGCTCAGTGACGAATTGGAGGGTGGGAAGACAAAATCTTTGGTCTGTTCTTCAATCGTGGCAAGAGGACAGGACACACGGCACGGAAAGAAAGGGTACATAGCAGCGAGCTTGTTGAAGAAGGTGGAAGGACTGTAGGAACTGGAGATCAAAAGAGAGCAGGGTGGTCTGAGAAGGTGTGGGAGAAAGAAGGGCAACAAACCTCAGGAGAACCGGAAGGGACTTGGTAGGGCAGTGGCAAGCAGCCCAGATGGAAGGGACAACGTGGACAGAGACGGGTGTGAAGGGGCATTCCCTGTGTGCATTGAGGGAAACTTAAAAGTGACTCTGAAGCAGATCTGCATGCGCATATCCACAGCTGGATGGTCTGGGGTTTCTTGAGGGCGGTTCAGATAGCTGCAATCCACAGAACTGTTGCCTTCTTCACATTAGTGGGTGAGCTGCTAGTTCTCCACGCTAAGCTGAGACAGTCAATCTGTTTGTGCTTTCTCTAATGCAGATGAACAAACTGCCTTCTGCTTGGAGTGCTCGCCCCCTGGATCTTCCAGGCCTGGTGCGTTCTCGTCCTTCAAGTCTTGGTGTAAATGACTCCCACTCAAGTAGGCCTGCCCTGAGCCCCGATGATGCGAGCTCCCCACTATTCTCTTGAAGTGAGCGTGGTGCCATTGTCATCACTGTGTTCTTGGTTGTCTGCTCCACGCTAGACGGAAGCCTCTGTGAGGACAAGGCCCCGCTCTGTCTCCACGCTGTCCGGGAGGCCTGAGCTCAGTGCCTGAGGTGCTCAACAACTGCGTACTGACTGAGCGAATGAGCAGACGAAAGCCCCACCCTCAGAGACAGCGCTGCATGGTCACGTGGGAGGGAGAGTTGATTTGTCACCAATGACAGGAAATAGCTTCACTTTGAGCATCTGCTCCTGAGTGACTCTCTTTTCAGTCAACTAATCAAAAAAAAATTACACACACATATTGTAATACAGTGTGTCTTCTATAATGTAACAAGGCTGGCTCTTCAAGAAACATAGAAAACTCTAAGTAAGGGTGGGCTGGTGGACGTGGGGGCTGGGGAGTGAGGAGGAAGGGAGCTCTTCCAGCTGGTAGCTTCTTGGGCAGGTTGCTTTGCTCCTGGACTCTGAACCATAGCCTAGGTGGATTCCTGTGACATGCTACCAGAACCCAAACCTAGGTCCTGGAGGCGGATGCACACCTCATTCCTGTTTCAAATGATATCTCACACCTGGAGCTTAAAGTGCTTGTCGTTTATCCCTTAGTAGCCATGGAGTGATGAGTAGCCATAGAGTGATGAGTAGCCATGGAGTGATGAGTAGCCATAGAGTCATGAGTAGCCATAGAGTGATGAGAAGCAGAGGGATTAGACCAGAAGCCATTGGAGTTTAAGAAGAGTCTAGGCCCTAATAGATCTTGCTAAGGAATGTAGACTTTTAGTATATGACTATATGGCAGGCAGTGGGAAAAATCGAAAAGAACTCATGTCCAAGAGTGACATGATCCACTTTATTTTCAGCAAAATCACAATGATTACAGAATGGATCACAGCATCTCCACGTGTGCAGAGTAGAACTGCCCCCGAGGGCTTTCAAGGTTCTGACCTTTCAGAAACCTGTCTTCTGAGGTACCTGTTGGTGAGCACTTTATGACATGCAACACCCAGGGTCATGGGGGCACCGCGATTCCACGACAGCAAAGTATGGATTATGGCTTAGAGAGCCTGGGTACTAGAGGCAAGAAGACAATTGGCAGGACAGAAAGAGAACTGATAGGGCCATTGTTTGTGAGTAGAATCCATTCCAAATGGTGAATGCCTTTGCTATGCCAGTTAACTGCTTTAAAATGACTGCTAACATCAGGAGACCATGATACTGGTCCAGATGAGAATGATTCATCCAGGACGATGTAAGGTCATGACAATGGAGATGGAAGCTAGAGGAGAGATATGAGAGAGATCGTTGCAGGTTGCCAAGATTCAGTGAGTGATTAGATATGGGGATGAG